TGCCCTCCCCAGGATGTGCCAGCCTGTCCCTCTCGTGGGCAGCAGGAAGGACTCTTGGTTAGCTTCATGAGGGGCTCTGCGCCCCGATGTTGTGTGCCCGTGTGGGAGGGGGTGTTGGAGGAAGGGCAGAAGATATGAAACGGTCCTTGTTGGACACAGGAAGTGCCAAACGCCCAGCTGGGCAGTGCCAAACGCCCAACCACAGGACCTTCCTAACAGGACACAGCTCAGCGGCGGCTTCCTCTGAGCCCTGCGTGGGGCCGTTCTGTGTTGGCACCTGGGGCACAGGCAGACAAAGACATCCCTGGCACCCACAGGAACTCGCTAGGGACAGCAACCCTACAGGCAGTGACTGCGGAGTGAGAAGTGAGGGCGCAGTGTGGGGCACCCTATTCAGGAGTGGGGGTCAGTGAGGAGGATGAGTATAAATATTTCTCTTTTTTTTAATTTAATATATTTTTTTTATTGATTTCACACAGAGAGGAATTGAGAGGGATAGAGAGTTAGAAACGTCGATGAGAGAGAAACATTGACCAAATGCCTCTTGCCCACCCCCGACTGGGAATGTGCCCGCAACCAAGGTACATGCCCTTGACCGGAATCAAACCTGGGACCTTTCAGTCCGTAGGCCGACGCTCTACCACTGAGCCAAACTGGTTTCGGCAATATTTCTCTCTTTTAATGGTCCAGCGCAGCTAAAGAGCGGTCTGGTTTCTGAGTAGAAAATGAAAGAAAGAGACAGAGATAGAAGGAAAAAGCTGGGGCCGGGTGGGTCAGCTGTCCTCTGATGGAGAGACAGTGACCCAGAACTGATACAGCACATTTAGTTTATAAAGCAAAATACCAGGAAGTTTTACTAAAGCCCAAGTCAAAGGAGATTAAGTGCATTCTCGTGGCTTCTTTGTGATGGTCACTCTGAGTGGCTCTTCCTCCCAGTCTGTAAAGGGCAGGCAGCCTGGGTAATCATGTTTGTTCCTGGTGCTTGGCTGGATTTAGATACTGAAACCCACCCCCTGGCGCCTGAGCTGAAGGTCAGGCTGACAAGACACCTGCCTCTGGCAAGGTATGTTTCCCGGGCGTGGCTCCGCAGGCACGACAATACGCTCAGGAGCCTTTCCCAGGTGCTCTCTACAGATGAGACGCTGTGAGCTGTCTCTGAGCCTGTTATTTCATCTGTGAAATGGGACGATGACAGATTTGAAATTCTGCGTGAAGACAAGTGTTGGGTAATTTGACAAGCATTTGAGCCACATGTCGCCCATATGGGAGGCCAGCAGGCTGGGGGCAGTGGCAGGGTTTTTAAGAGCCACAAGGGAGTGAACCCCGAGGCCTAGCTCTTTAAAGCAAGTTGAACCGCCGAGTTGAAGGGGTGGGGAAGTTGATGGGCTGGAGAGAATTTGGCCAGTTTTGCCATCTCTCTGGTTGTTTTGAGAATAAAATATGATCATGTAAGTAGAGCTCCGGTTAGCACTGGGAGTGTTCAACACATGTACTGACAACAATGACATTTCTCCCTTCTGGTTCTTTTTTTTTTTTTTTTTTTTAATATATTTTATTGATTTTTTACAGAGAGGAAGAGAGAGAGATAGAGAGCTAGAAACGTCGATGAGAGAGAAACATCGACCAGCTGCCTCTTGCACAACCCCTACCTGGGATGTGCCCACAACCAATGTACATGCCCTTGACCGGAATCGAACCTGGGACCTTTCAGTCCGCAGACCAACGCTCTATGCTCTACCACTGAGCCAAACCGGTTTCGGCCCTTCCGGTTCTTAATAATAAAACGGTAGAGGTAACAGAAGGTATGAAACAGTGAGTTTGAATGTTTGTGGGTGTCTTGTCTTGGTCCCTGCGGACTCGGTGGCCGGTGGAGGTGAGGATGGAGGGAGGTATTTGCAGAGCCTGGTGCAGGCCTGCAGGAGTTCCTATTATTGGTATAAGATCCGTGTCTCCACCTCCTCCCCCTGCACACACAAAGGCAACGCAGACTTGATCGCTTTTACCTTCTTGTTTTATTTGCACCCACATCCCACTTTTCAAAACCCCGGAGGCTGGGAGCTGTTTGCAGACACTCCCTGTGGGCTGTTCTTTCTTCCGGCTCCCGCCTGGCTTCCCCACATCTCCCTCCCTGGAGGCACTTCCTTCCCTTGTGTTTCATCCCCCTTCCTCTGTGGTGGCCCCTGGATGCCTAGGAGGCGGCTCCCAGCAAAGCTTCAGGGACTTCTGAACTACCCGGGGCCACAAGGCCCTCCCAGGGAAGGATGGAGAAGGCGGGGAAGTGCTGGGCACCTGTCAGGGCTCTAAATACCGAAGTATCTTCCAGTGGCTCTTAGTGGCTCTTCCTCCCAGTCTGTAAAGGGCAGGAGCCCCTCCACTCCACACCTTCCCAAGGCTTGGGCACCGGGGCTCTAAGCAGCTCCGTGGGAAGCTGCTCTGTGGTCAGATGGCCTGGGAAAGTGCTTTATGCACTGAGCCTGGGAAGCTCAAGTCAGCAGCCAGTCCTTTTTTCACCACCCACCCCGACGAGGGGTGCAGAAGCACAGGGTCTCCAAACCTAGGTGACCTAAAGTATCAATAACTTGAGCACACCCTAAACCTCGTTGGACCTAAAGGGGCCCCTGCAGCTTAAATGTCAGACCCTGGCCTCCACGGGGCGGGCTCGGGCAGCCCCCTGCGGAAGACACCAGACCGATTTTGGAGCAGTCCCTGGGCAGGGTGCTTTACACACGTTCTCTTAGTTCTTCTAACATCCACGATGATGGGCTGGCCATGGCGAACCCATTTTACAGGTGCAGAGAATGAGGGTCAGAATTTAAGAAAGGGTTGAGTTCCAAGTTCAAGGACAGAGCGTGACTGGCTGGTGTGGGTGGAGAAGGGACTGGGGACAGCTCATATGACAGCTGATGCCAACTGGGCTCCCGTGCCCCCTGAGAGGGGAATGGGAAGACACCATAGGGTGCTTTTAAGGCAACTGAGGGTCTTTGAACTTTGCCACGAAGGGCAAGTTCTTTTGAACTCTCTGAGCCTCAGTTTTCTCACCTGTAAAATGGGATGGTTGAGAGGATCAGAGAGACGCTATTCAGGAAGCATCTCGTCCTGCGCCTACATGTGCAGATCAGGGGCTCCGTCTTACAGCTCCAGGAACAACTCAGGGTGGGGCACCTGGGATGGCAGCTCTCGTTTCAGGCTGGGCATTGCCAAGGGCAGCCCTGTGCCCTGCGGTCCGAGCGGGGCCCAGCCCCAGCCCAGCTTTCACAAACAATCCTGCTATTCTGGACACGACCGAGGCTGGGCTTCTCTTGTAAATATTGATGAAGGCCCCAGACAGAGAGGAACAGGAAAACAAGGGACGTTTTATTTATGATAGAAAAAGAAACCAAACAGGAAAAAAAAAAAAATCTACAAGCCCAACAGGGGGTGTGTGTAGTGTGGGGGGATCTTAAATAAACCGTGTGGTGCAGCCACCGGGTGGAATGTTGTGCAGCGATTGAAATGATGTTTACCGAGGGTTTGTAATAACACAGGAAAATGCTTATTCTCCAAAGCGAGGTGGAAAAAAAAGGAAGCAGAACGGAATTGTAAATTCAGCATAATCACACCTAGGCCAGAATCAAGCCCGGCCGACCGAAATCACACGCAGGAGAGACAGGCTGGAGAGACCGTGCCACAGCAGGGGTTAATTGGGGAGATGTTTTTCATACTTTCCTCTCTTTTTTCCAATTTCTCTATAATGGCACGGTTGGTCTGATGTAAAAAGCAACCCAGATTTAAGATTCTTCTTTATTTCCCCCGGAAGGAGAAAGAACTCTTATTGGGAAAAAGCAGATGGCCCAGGGACAAGAGTTATTTGACAAACAGGCCACCCTGAGGCTGAGGGCCCCAGGTGGGCAGGCCGACTAATCACCAAGGTCAGGTGGAAACTCTAGACCCGGAACTCGGGGTGTCACGTGGACCTCCTGACACCACGCCACACACCCAGCCGTGGCGGTGATGTCCTGGCAATTATTTGGACTCTCCTCTCGGAAGGTGCCAACATGGCTTCTCTCCTGGGAATGCACCTGTTATCCAAGCAAGGAACCTCTCTTATAAATGTCGGCGGGACAGGAGTCTCTGTTAGGTGAAAGGCTGCAGCAGAAAAGCTGGGCTCCGGCCAGTTCACCTCATTTCCCCCCCACCCCCCAGATGGAGCTCCCGGGAGAAGGACCCGCCTCTCCTGCCCACGTGACAAAGGCTCTGGGTGCACGGCCAGGCTTCCCGGGTCCTGAGCCACCCCCAAGCTTCCACTCAGGTCTCTGCTCAGTGTGTCTGGTCAGGAAGGCCTGCTCACACTATCCCAATCGCCTGCTTAGCTGGCTCGGTGGCTCGTATCTGACATGGGTTCTATTTATGTATGTATCTTTTTCAAAACTGCCCATTCTCCTCCACTGCAATGTGAGCTCCTGTCAGGCAGGCGCCTCCAGCACAGGAACAAACAGTCCTGGCCTCTCCTTCTGTCACTGGACCTGACCGTCATGCCCCCAGGGGGTCGCTGAGGGCCCCCAGAGCGATCCCCCTCCTGCCACCATGGTCCTGCTCACTCTCATTCCTGAGCCCAGCTCTAGAGAGAGGAACACAGCTGCTCTAGGCAGTAACGAGGCCTGGAGTCAGCTTGAGGGGTCCCTGGGGGTCAACTGGCACCTGAATCGTGGTTGTGATAAGGCTTTGCCCCTAAAGTGTGCTAGGGTCCTGGGAAACACCCCCTCCCCCAACCCCAATTCAGACTTGATTGAAGCCATCCCGGGAGATGTGGCTGCCCTCTATTTCACCCTTGCCCTCTGCAGCCCTCTGGCACAAAAGCATCTCGGAGCCCAGCCACCGACAAACATCGGACTGGCATTCACCGTCTGTAGCCTAAACTCCTGGCCGCCTGGTCTCCCAGAAACGGCCCACGGAGGAGCGGTGGGCAGGGGGTGCTCTTTGCCCCCCGCTTTGCAGGAGGAGCCCAGCAGAGGGGCAGCTAGCTAGACCCTGGTCTGTGGCACCTGGGGGCTGGGCAAGGTGAGGACGGTGGGCAGCAGGGTGCCCCGCGGGGAGGGGAAGCTGCGCAGCTCCTTGGGCACGAACCTGGGCGAGACGCTGTCGGCCAGGAAGAGGAGGGTGCGCCGGCGGCCCACGCAGTAGACCAGGCTGCCCACGGCGGCGCACTGGAAGGCGTCCGGGTAAGGGGTCCGGTACGTGGCGCACTCGTACCAGAGGCGGGCGCTGGCGCTGCAGCGGTGCACGCTGATGCCCAGGCTGCGGTTGAGGTCGAAGCGGTAGAGGAAGCCGCCCACGGCCACCATCTCGGCCGTGCGGTCCTTGCCGCCCCCCGTGGGGCCCACCTGCCAGCGCTGCTCGGGGGCCGAGAAGCGGAGCAGCAGGTAGCGCAGGGTGCCGCCGGTGACGAAGATGTCCCCCGCGCAGGCCGTGGCCGTGTGCGCCAGGGCGAAGGTGTCGTTGGGGAGCGGCGGGGCGAAGGCCCAGCGGTCCACGCGGGGGTCGTAGCGCTCCACGGTGTTCAGGCACTCGCCCCCGATGGCGTACAGGCAGCCGTCCAGGGCCACCAGGCGGCAGTGCGGCCGGGCTTGGTTCAGGGGGCACACCTCGCTCCAGATCCCTGTCAGGGGGTTGTAGCAGAAGACCCGGCTGGAGGGCCGGCCCCCGGCCCCCTGGCACCCGGACACCACGAACACATAGTTGAAGAGGCTGCAGATGGCGCAGCCGCGGGACACAGCCTCCGGGGGCAGGGGGGCCAGCGGGTGCCAGGCGTCCTGCTCGTCGTCATAGCAACAGAGGCGGCCGGCGGCCTCCTGGGGGCACATGTCGGCCACCACCAGGCGCTGGCGGCCCCGCAGCCGCCGCCGGAGGACCAGCTCCCGCTCGGCCCCGCTCAGGCGCCCGTAGATGTCCGGGCTGCGCAGCACCTGGAGGTAGTTGTCGCTCATCACCTTGTAGGCCGCCTCCTTCAGGGCCTCCAGGTTCTGCCTCTTGGCCAGGGTCAGCACCTCGTAGCAATTGCCCAGGTCCAGGCGGACGTCGGGGGCTGACCCGGGGCTGAGGGGGACGTGGAAGAAATTGGTCCCGGCCACGAGCTGCAGGTGGGGGTCCCCGCTGCTTCCGGCTGCGCTGGACTCCGGAGGCTCCCTGGATATGGGGGGGCTGGGTGGAGGGGTCTGGTCCGTGCAGGATGGAGGGGGGGTCCCGAACCCGTGGAGCTGCAGCTGAAGCTCGGGGTTGTCCACGATCTGGAGGAGGCTCTCCTTCCTGCTGAGGCCCCCCGCGGGGGGCAGCACAGGCTGGGGGGAGGCAGCGGGACCGGCTCCGCCTTCTCTGTCGTCGTCGTCGTCGTCAAGGCCTCTGGGGACTGTCCCTGTTCCCAGGGGGCCTGGCACGGGAGGTGGTGCCTCTGCCAGGGCCGCGGTGCTGGGGGCCGGCCGGCCTCGGGAGGTGGCCTGGGAGGTAGACTGCACGTAGTACTCGTACACCTTGCCCTGCAGCCGGGGCCGCATCCCCGCCACCTTCTCCTGCAGGAAACTCTCCTCGACTCGAACCCGGGCCACCGAGGAGAAGGTGTAGGAGCCCTCCTGCTGGTGCAGAGCCAGGCCCATGTCGGAGGCAGCCTGCAGGGCCGCTGCCTCTTCCCGGCAGGCCCCCAGCACGCGGGCCAGGACCCAGCTCTGGCTCATGTCGGTCTTGCCTTCCGAGCCGGCCATCCAGGGCTGGAGTGGGGACGCCTGCTCCCCAGTCCCCGGCTGCTCGGGGAGCCCCCCGTCCCGCCACGGAGCGGGCCGACCTCCCACACCGCTGCCGTCCACCGCAGCCAGGACAGCAGGGGCACTTTTGGGTTCACTGCCCAAAGGGGGGCTGTGGGGCCGCTCGGGCTTCTGGCCAGCAGCTGTTCCGGTGTCCCGGCCGCTGCCGTGAGGAGGTGCCAGGCCGGGCTCCAAGCACCGCCCACCCTCGTCCTCACCAGCTCCTCTCCTCTTGGGCTTCCACGTCTCTCCGGCTTCCGAGTCGCTGGAAGGGGTTCCCAGGACCCGGGAGCCCCCCGGATCCTCCCAGCCGCCGCCCAGCGGTGCTCCTGGCCCCTTGCTTCCGCTCCGGCATCGCAGGCCCCGTTGGGGGGCCCCAGGAGCAGCCCCCCGGGCCTCGGACGGCCCGGAGCCCTCTGCCTCCTCCTCGGCCTTGGCCTTGGTGCTCCTGCCCCACAGTGGGGCTCGGGCAGGCCTCGACTTGTACAGCCTGTAGGCTGCGGTCAGCAGGAGCAGGGCGGCCGCGGACAGCACCACCTTGCCCGTCAGCTGCATGTCCAAATGCCAGTCCTGGGCCTCGGCTCCGCCTCCTCCTTCAGGGAACATGCTTCCCGAGCCAAGAGCCAACCTGGGGCGGAGGAATGTCAAGAATCTGATTAATAATTGCCCAATGGGGCCCAGCTCCCGGTTCCCGCGGAGCTGAGCGGAGGGGGCTCTGGGCCAGCTCTGGCCAGCTGAGGAGTTGGAGCAAAGGTGACTTTGAGCTGGCAGAGGGCGGCCCCGGAGCCAGGCTGGCCGGCAGATCCCGGCGCCGGCCTCCTGGGATCCGGCAGTGCCTGCCCTGGGGGTGGGGTCTGCCCCGGGGCTGAGCTTGTGATCAGCCACCTGAGCCCGCAGCAGCTGGCGGATGTCAGGAGCGTCCGGCTCTTGAAGAGGGAGGAAGCTCTTGACCAAACATCACCCGATGCTAGGAGACGCATGGGGTTGGCCACTGCTTTATTTTCTCTTTTGCAAATCAGCTGCTGTGCCGGGAAGGCTGGGTGTGGTGGGTGTGGGGCAGGTGGAGCCTCGGCAGGTGTAGCCAAAGACCCACCTGGGTCCCTTTCTCCTGCTGGGGGCCCCCTGGTTCCCACAAGGGGGGTGGGGTCTGCAGTGAGCAGCAGAGCAGGCTGAGCCTGGGACTGCTGCCAAGCCACTTGACCCGGCTCTCCATGCCGCTGCCCTCCTGAGAAAGCTCAGGGAAAGCACATGGCATTCATGCCCGGGCCGGGGGCCTGTGTGAGGCACAGCCGCACCCTCCAAAACGGACGGCCTCCCAGGATGAGAGGCCGAGGGAGACGCACTCGCATCACCTCGCCGGGGGCTAGGGGTTCCAGGTCCAGACTCCCCGGCTCTGCCACTTACCAGCTGACCTCACCTCTCTGGGCCTCAATGTCTTCATCTGAAAAATGGGGGTGACAGCATACCAGCCTCATCAGGTTGTGGTGACAGCAAAAATGAGTTAAGGTATGAGAAGCCTCGGAGAAGCTCAGTCACTATCAGCCATTCTTTTTTTTTCTTTTCCTTTTTTTTTTTTTTTTTTTTTTTTAATATATTTTATTGATTTTTTGCAGAGAGGAAGAGAGAGGGATAGAGTTAGAAACATCGATGAGAGAGAATCATCGATCAGCTGCCTCTTGCACACTCCCTACTGGGGATGTGCCCACATCCAAGGTACATGCCCCTGACCGGAATTGAACCCGAAACCCTTTAGTCCGCAGACCGATGCTCTATCCACTGAGCCAAACTGGTTTCGGCTGTCAGCCATTCTTTTCCTCTCTTCCCTCCCTCCTTCTCCTCACCCGTGTCCTTATCACTCTATTCATCAGCACCAGCTGGACCCTCCATAGCACAAATCCGTGTCCCTCTGTAGACCAAGGTCCTATCTGAGTCCCCAGAGGCCAGGGTGGGGATCTCAGACCTGTGCCCCCCACAGGGGCCAGGCAGGTAAACGGAGGATTCACCCCATGAGAGTGCCAGGCGGGCAGGCCCAGCACTGCCAGGCCCCTCTGTTCAGAGACGCTCACTCTAGGCAGTGATGCCATCTACCGTGATTTCTAAACGATGGCGCCGAATTTAAAAATGAGAATAATCCCCTCTCTGCGAGGAGTTTGTCTCTGAAGCCTTGATGAGGAGAAAATCCTAAGTCATGCCTGTGGCCACAGCCCCTCACACTCTAGCCTCGGTTTACCGCCTCGTCCCCGCCCCCAAGTTTATTTCCTGTTGGCTGCCTCAGGTGTCTGCGCTGGGCTGGGGCTCTGCCCGACCTTCCCTGCTGGTGCACATCCCTACAGGCCTGTGGAGCCGGCTCAGAGACTGTGCCTCCCGTGCCTTCTTCCCGGTGAATTCTTCTGCCTCCATCATCTTCTCCTTCGTTGGGCATCTTGTTCTTTGCTCCTCTTGTAGCCTCTATCGTGGGTCAAAGTTAAGGTGACCAGATGTCCCGCTTTTGGCGGGACAGTCCCGATTCTTAACAATTTGTCCCGCATCCCGCAGAGTTTTAAAAAGTCCCGATTCTTTAAAAAAAAAATAAATAAATAAATAAAAATAAATAAATAAAAATCGGGACTTTTTTTTAAAACGCCGCAGGACGCGAGACAAATTGTTAAAAATCGGGACTGTCCCGCCTAAAGCGGGATGTCTGGTCACCTTAATCAAAGTGCACTCTGTTCTCAGGTGCTGGATTCCAAGTCCCCAAGGCCGGTGTGGGGCCAGGTGCACTAGGGACAACAGCCCGTCGTGTCTTACCGGCGCCGTGGCCGGAGGTGGGCGCGCCCAATGGGTCTCCTCTCCTGTTCAGTGTTTGTTTAAGAAAGTACACTTGTCACCCCGCCCTTAGGGCAGCGCCACGCTTATGTCACGTTGCTTGTCCACAGAGACTTCCTTCTCTGTTTCCAGACCCCAGAGTTTTGCAGACCTGGGTTCATCCAGCAGGTCTCTCTCCCCACTACCCCACACACCCCCTCGATGACGAGCAGCAGGGTCCCTGTCTTCCCATTGTGGCCAGGGCAGTGATTCTGACTTCCACAGGCACTGACACGGAGGGTGTGTGTTAGCAATTCAGTGTCCAAGCCCACCCCCCATCCCTTACTGATTCAGGAGGATTGGGATGGCTCCCAGGAAATCCCCATTTTTCAACAATCCTCTCCGGAGGTTTCAGTGGGTCTGGGGATGTAGACCAGGTCAGCGTTTCTATCCACCTGCTGAAAATTCCTCCTCGTCCTGGAAAGGGGGGGTGTGTGGGGGGGAAGGGGGAGAGGATGGGGGTGGGGTGAGCAGTTCCTCCCTAGATCACCAAGGCGAGGCCCAGGGAACGGGGGGACGGCAGGGCGGGGTGGGAGTGGGGGTGGCGGAGGTAGGGGGAGCGGGGATGAAGTCCTGGGCACTTCGCATAAGTCATTTCACTTCCCAGGAATTTGGAGAGGAGGTATTGTCAACGGTGAGGAAACTGGGGCTCAGAGGGACGTGTCAATGTCACATTAGTGGTGAAAGGCAGGTCTTGATGTATAGCCGGGCCTCTGCAGCTGCATGGCCCGTGGGTCTTCCCTGGGAAGGAGAGGACCAGTGTGAATGGCAGTGAAAAGGATGTGTCCAGCGGTGGAGCCAGGGCTTTGGGGCTGATGTGGGGTGGGGACAGTGTGGGACTCTCCTACCGTGGGGAGGGGAAGACTTGTGGCACACCCCCGGTGTGTGGTGGCCTCTCAGATGCCACCTGATGAGCAGGGTCTGGGCCCCCTTGATGTGGGCTTTTCTACCCAATGAAGGCTCCACTGTGCCCCGGAGTGCTCTCCCTCCGGCTCCAGGGTAAACCGACTGAGTCAGGCAACACCCCTTCCAGCTGGAACCTGCTCTTGGGCAAGGTGTGTGGCCAGACCCAGCCCCTGGGGCATCAGAGAAAGGCAGGGGTGGGGGAGGGAGGGACCGTGGGGGACCATAGACTCAGGCTCAGCCCCAGGGAACTGATGTCCTGATCAGAGAGATGGCACACGCCCCCAAGTTATCATCAAGCCACAATCCATCACAAAGGAGAAATTAATGAGGCCAGGGAAGGGTTCTAGAAAGAGGCGCTTAGCATTGACTATTGACAAAGGAAGCAGGGGCATGGACTGATGGATTGCTTGAACCCATATTTACCGGATGCTTATCACGTGCCAGGCCCTGTGCTGGGGTGCAGTGACATAGGTTAAAGAAACATGCATGGCCCAGCCAGCGTGGCTCAGTGGTTGAGCCTTGACCTATGAGCCAGGAGGTCATGGCTCTATTCCCAGTCAGGGCACATGCCCTGGTTGTGGGCTCGATCCCCTGCAGGATCAGTGATTCTCATCATTGGTGTTCCTGTCTCGCTCTTCTCCCTTCCTCTCTGAAACCAATAAGAAGCAGTATCTCTATATAAAAAAAAGCACAGGTGGCCGCTGTGCCTGTGGAGACTGCTGACTCTGGGGGCGGAAGATGCTGAGTGAGGTGGTGAAGTGTGACGGTGCTCCTGCTGGCGTGGCGCTTCCTGGGGCCTTCCCTCGTCCGAGGGCAGAAGTGACACCTGTGACACAGCTGAGCACGGAGGAGCCTTCATTAAGCGAGGCTTCCCGCTGTCCGCCCTGGGCAGCTCTGAGAACACAGCCACCAGGGATGGTGTTAAAATGCAGGTTTTATGGTTATTCAAGTTCGGTGGGGCCAGCACGTCAGGAGATGAGTGCTGTTGAAAAGATAGTTTGTTACTCCCAGTTCCCATGAGGAGTTCCCCCTTTTCCAACAGGCCCTGCCAGACAGGGCCATGCTGGAAAGCGGGGGCTGTAGAGAGGCCGGGGAGAGGAAAGCATAAAAGCCTTCATTGTGGTTTTCCTGGGATGGAGCGAAAATGGCAGGGTTAGCAGGGTTAGGATTGGCTCACTTGGGTCATTTTGGAGCCTCCGGGCTACCTGTAGTTGTTCCATGTCTGGTCCGGGGATGATAAGGGCAGGGAATGTTGGCCCTGGTGAGTAAGAGCCTTGTGAGAACCCGAGAAAGGTGGTAGTTGGGGTAATGGCTTTGGATTGGTTCATCTGCACGTGAAAGGTGTCCTAGGTGAGTCATTGGCTATGTAGGAACTAGCTAATGTGGGTGGGGAAGTCCCTCCCCATTTAAGGTGAGCAGGCCTGGATGTCAGAGCTTAGCAGTGCAATGTACAATAGCTAAGCTCTTGTACCCATCCGTAGATGAGTGGATGAAAAATCTGTGGTGTGTTTATACCGTAGGATATGATGCAGCAGTGAAAAAGAAGGATCTCTTATCCTTTGAGACAGCATGGAGGGATCTGGAGAGTATTGTGCTAAGAGAAATAAGCCACTCAGAGAAAGACAGGTATCGTAGAATCTCACTCATATGTGGAATGTAAAGAATGAAATAAACTGATGAGCAAAATAGATCCATGGACATAGAAGCATGGTACAGACTGTGGAATCTCAGAGGGAAGGAAGGTGGGGGTGAGTGGATGGGAAGAGATCAACTAAAGAATATATATATATATATATATATATATATATATACACACATGCATAACCCATGGAACAGACAATAAGGGTGGTGAAGGC